CGCAAATGTCCCCTGGTGCAATTGTCTGCACACAGAACATTAGTTGTTAAATATGTACTGGAGCCTGAATGATTTCTTCCTTTCGTGGTTTTTTTTTTTCCCCCTTCTTCTCATTCTTCCCTCTCTTTTCCTTCTCACCACAACCATTGTTCAGAAGCAAATTGGAAATCTGGTAATTAGGCCCTGACTCACGGTGTAGTATTAGAGTCCCGAGCCAAAGTTCAACACCCTGAAATGAAATTTAAACCAATTAATCTGTTAGATTTTTATCGCTTGTCCGTGTTTTCTCAGCAATTCCCCCAGCACGTGGCCTTTGATCAACTCTCATACAAACGCTAAAATGTGTGCCTGCTGCTAGTAAGATGGGAATGACATTAACATGGTACTCATAAAACAATCAGAGCAGAGAAGCCCTCAAACAGGCAGGGCATAGTAATATTTAATAAAAGCGCACACATAATCTTCAGAATTAGCATTTTGTGCCTTGCAGTACCTTTGGGAGAAGAGCTTTTATTTGTGGAGTGATCATTATTATAACAAAGAAGAGCTACCTAATAATTTCCACTTTAACTCTGCAATGTGCCACGAGCATTTCAGAGCCATTATGCTAAACTGTGGTAGTGTAATCATGTTATTGTCATAGTTTGAAGGAAGGAAAATCTCCTTTACTTGGGTGGCTGTTGGGGGTGGGAGGAGAGGTTTGGGGGGAAAAAAAACCAACCCAGACTTATATTTTTAATGAGATTTAGAACCAGGAATTGGCTTACTGTCCTTGTGGATACCCAGAGTGTGAAAATTTATTGGTGAGGAAGGAAGAGTCTTGTATTAATTAAATCAAGATTTGGTCAATAAAAGTGGTTTTGTATTCAAATCCACCCCTCTCCTCTATTCCATAATATTTCCTTTGAGATAGAATTGTGTTGATTATTATACTCCTGGGTTGAGTTGAACTCTTTCATGAGACTTTTCACCTTCAGGTGTCACTGAATACATCCACTGTGATTATTATGAACTGTCATCTTTCTGTATCTCTCTGGATATCCTGAGTGAAAGAAAAACAAGTCCATGGCTGCTGCAGATGTCTTCTGAGCTTTCTCAAAGTGAAGAAGGGGTGGGGGAAGGCTCAGGGTCTGTTAGTCAGTACATCTGGGCTTTAAAAAAATTAGTATCAGTTTGTTATAAAGCATACAGCTTTTATCTTTCACAGAATTAAATGCTCTGGTGTTACTTTTTTAAAAAATTAAAACATACTACCTTAGTAGGTGCTCACTGAAAAATTCAAACCATACAGCTATCTATAGAGTAAAATTTAATAGAGTCTCTCTTCTCTAGTCACCTTCCTTTTTCATATAGACCCACTGGGGATAGTTGGACATCCTTCCAGGCTTTGTCTATCACACCTGTTCACACATAACTGCACACACTCATGCCTATAAGCATATATATATATCATTTTATAATTAACAGAATCACACTATTCATTAGGCTACAAATTGCTTTTTTTTTTTTTTACTTACTAACATATTTTGACATCTTTCCATGTCAGTTTATAGAAATTTTTTCAACTGTTCTAATGACCTTTGACATATCGTATATATGGATATATCATGATTTATTTAATCACTCCCTTATTAGTGGGGGACACTTAGACTTAAGCTTTTCACAGTTAATACTGCAGTGAACATTTGGGTACCTATAGTTTTAGGCACAATTGAAAGTATTTCCTGGGCTGCTTTTAGTCTGGCAAGTTTGTGACTAGGGTAAAAATGTAAGATGGCAGCCTATGAGTTAAATTTAAATCCATAAACATTTTGTTTGGCCTACACATTAAGAAAATGAATTAGTTGCCAGCATTTAGAGACTGGGAAATTTCACATAAAAATCTGGGCTTCTGGTTCCTTTTGAAAGATCAGAAGACCAGCTCTCCCAAGAACTGCATCTGTGTGGGGATACCAATGGCCGGAGCCTCCCCAATTCAGTGTCACCAGCCAGCCATCTCATGCTTGCTCTGAGACCCTGGGCTGCTGTGTTCATTTGTGTTTCTTGCCTTGGCTGGTGTGGATCTGTGAGTTCTTCACAGCTGCTCTTGAGCCTGATCTGTTTAGCTAGTCACAGTGGCTTCTACCTTGCATTGTTGACATTTTCGGATTCTTTGTTTGGGGGGCTGTCTCATGTCTTACTGAATACTTAGCATTCTTGACTCCAGGTTACTAAATACCAATAACATCCCTTCCTTAGCCGTCTCTCTCAGTGGGTCAGCCCAGGATTCCTTTTACGGATTCTCTAATCTTCCCAGTAGGGGAGTAGAGAAGCTTCCCAAACAACTCCTCTTAAGATGGCTATGACATAGGTGCACAGGAGACATGTATACCTGGAGAACTTTGAGGTTTCAGCTTATAAAGAGAGGCCCGACTGACTTGTTCTGAGATTAGTACCTCGTCCCTCAACAGGGATAGTGGGTTGTATTGAGCACAAGGGTCAGATGGACCCAGGGGTGCCTCTCTTTTCCTTTAGTACTTCCTCCAAGCCTTTTTTTCCCTCCCAAAAAACTAAGAAGATGGTTTCATATATTGTTTCTTCACCAGTTTTTCTCTACTAGCTTGATTCTCATTTATCTCCAACTAGTTGACCTGTAACTTTGTTTCTGAATGGTTGAAAACATTGTTAGATTCCTTAGGAAATGTTTGAACATATATGCACTCCATCTATACATATATGTACTTACATCACATAGACATATACATATATGTACTTATATCTATACATAAATATATAGGTGAAGTCGCTCAGTCATGTCTGACTCTTTGCAACCCCATGGACTGTAGCCTACCAGGCTCCTCCGTCCATGTGATCTTCCAGGCAAGAGTACTGGAGTGGGTTGCCATACATATATGTAATTACATGCCTTCTGTATCCTACAATATCAAATGGAAAAAAGAAAGCTGGTGCAAGTCTAAAATCTACAGTTCTTGGCCATATGCTATTATAACTTCTTTGCCTGTAAGAGAGACTCTCAAAGATACACTAACATGCCCAGATGCCACCCTTGTGCAATGATGAGAAAGCCTGGAGGCGCCCATACTTAACTAAAAGAACATGTTTATGTGAATAAAATAAAATTTAAAAACTCAGAAGAAATCCTTAAACTTTTTGGTTAATGAGGGCAATCAGAGTCAGAGTTTAATGATACCATTGGATTCCACACTTTGCCATCAGAGAGACTCTTTCAGGACCAGTTCAGTAAAATCAATGTTCTATTCTTCTCAGAAGTATCTAAGGATATAGTAATACCTTTTCTATTACACTCTAGCAACTATATACTTATAATGAGTTAGAAATTAAGAATTAAGACTTTGAGACATTAACTAGAATGTGTCCAAACTGTTTATATTTTAAGAATTTTATATAGTTGTTGAATGTAGTTTATGTCTCTTATAAATTGCTTGGGATCATACATCATGTTCTACCATTGGTTTGGGAGTACTCAATCATGCATTTAAACATGGTTACTTTTAAAGGAAAATTTTATGAAAAAGTCGTATGCCTGTGGAACATTGATCCACAACCTTTATGAGTGTTAAAAATTGAACAAGAATTTTCAAGCCATGAATCATTTACATTTCTTTGATTAATTATTTTGTTTTTGGGAGAAAGTGGAGGAGAGAAAAGGCATCTGGACTGCCCAGTGTTAGTTGTAAATGTACTGCTATGAGTTCAGCCAACATGAAATGTTTAGTTTGGATATTTCCAAATTTCTCTGTGCAATTTTTATAAGATTAATTTGACTCAAAATCAAACCCATTCTACTTGTTTGTATGGTGGCACATGAGCCATGGTCCCTTAGGGCTGGGCTTCATATTTTCTTTTCTTCTTGCAAAAGTTGAAGCATGACATTTTGCCAAATTTGACAAAGTCCAGTAATTTTTTGCCAGTTTTTTTCCCGTTAAAATTAACTAGTGCTCTCATTGGTTTCAATAATTGGAAAGTCAGTCTGGAGTACTTAATACACTTTTTATTAAAGAAGAGGGTCTCATTTTCTCTCCTTACACAGTATCTCCTTTGCTTTAGAATTTTGCTTTGTTCTTGCTCATAAAAGTGATCATGAAATAGCAGCATGGCATTGTGGAGCTAACAATTCTCAGTGGCACGAAAGTACTCCCTGAGAGATTTCTTTTATGCCCAGTAATTCTGTTGAAAGCATGCCATGCTCATCCGGCAAACCACCTCCAGTCTGAAATCACAGTATTTGCAAATTATTTCCCATCTCCAAGGGCCATTTATAATGGAAAGAAAGGAGATAGGAAGTTTTGAAAAAGCCAGTTCTTGGGTTTTATGCCTGGGAATGACAACCAAGCAAAGGTCATGGGACTTTCTGTGGTTCAGCCCTGACTCAGCCATTTGGTTACATAATTCACCCTGAATGACCTGCATACTTTGCATCTATAAAATGGGATCCATGACATTTATTGCAAAAGATGTAATGGTTTTTATTCAGGAGTATTGCTCCACTAGTGGTACAGACAGAAGGCATGGAACAAGAATGGTGTTCTCTTCCCGTCTCCTCTCTTTCTTCCCTTCCCATTGGACATGACTGTTATCTAAAAATCTATGAGTTTTCTTTTCAGGAGATATATTTAATTATTAAGCAATTCTCTAAGGTTTCTGGCATATTCCAAAATGTCACCCATGAAAAAAAATCTTTAATATTTCATAAAAAAATTTTGCTTCTATGTTTTATTTCATAAGGTTTCAGGTTTGAAAAAGATTTGGGTGAAAATATCTGTATCTTAATAGAAACAAAAAAAAGAAATGCTTTTAAAAACTGAAATTGCACCATGAAGTTTCAGGTGCTAACGTGACTAGGAATTGGCTGAGATCTTGAGGGACTTTCTGTTCATGAAAAGATAAAAGATTTTTTTTTTTTCTTTTTCTCAAGTCTCCCATCATTAAAGTTTGGTTCTAACAGCAGACTCCTTCTCTTTTTCATGTGTGTTGAAAAGCAGCTACTCCCTGTATCAAAGCCATCAGCCCGAGTGAAGGATGGACGACAGGAGGTGCGACTGTGATCATCATAGGGGACAATTTCTTTGATGGGTTACAGGTCATATTCGGTACCATGCTGGTCTGGAGTGAGGTAGGTGTTGTCTGAGCATTAATATCTAATAGCTTGGTCTAGTTGAGGATACTGTCTACACTTGAATTTCTAATAGAGTGTATAGAATTTTGTGGTGCCAGTCTGGGTGGGCCAGCTCCAGTCTGCAGAACTCTGGAAACTAGGAAAGATGGGTTGGGTTTACCAGGAGACATCACTTTCTGTTGGAATGACTTCCACCCACTGGTCCGTCAGCCCCAGGAGAGTTTCTTCATTTGTCTACATGGGCAGGCTATGGTGTGGAGGTCCTATTGTGTGTTGGAAATTGGAAAGGAGGTACACATTCACAAATATATATATAGGCAAACCCCTGTAACAAGATAGTAATTTGTGAACACTTGCAGATGGAGTCTACAACTAGACATCCATCTTTAATGATCACCATCCATGGGACAGTAATAATCTAGGTGTAGGTGGTTCTTGACTTACTCAATGACTCTTCGTCAAAGAGTGAGTGGTTTGCCAGGGGAACCTAGACTAACTCAGGGCTCTTTCATGCCCTAGGAATTTAAAACCTCCCAAGCATCTCAATATGGATCTTCAACCATATGAAAATGACTATGCTCCGATTTTGCAGTACTTTCCAAGCATTGTGATCATTATTTTAATTTGCCAGTTGACTTGCCTGGCAGTAATCAATGTTATCTCAAATTACAAAACATGAGTATCACCATTCTGTAGAAGGCACGGCAGACTTGCCTTTGCTTTCTAAATACTGAAACTTGATTTCTTAGCCAGCATGCCCAGATCCTGTTTTCTTTTATCTCTCCAAAGTTTAGTATAAAAATAGTGCTAGGGCTGCAAGATACTGTTGAGCTCACTTATATCTTACATGCTTTACAAGTGGTCAAAGGATGACGAAACTTTGTTGAGACTTACTATACACTAGGCACTGTGCTGAGCCCTTGACATAGATCATCTTAATCTTCCCTTTACACCGCAAAGTAAATACTCGTAGTATGTATCTTTTCTTGATAAGGATACTGAGGCTTAGAATGTATACACACACACACACACACACACACACACATAAATATATATAAATATAGTGAGAGAGTCTAAGCATATATATATGCTTCCCTGGTGGCTTAATGGTAAAGAATCTGCCTACCAGTGGAGAAAACTTGCAAGAGATGTGAGTTTGATCCCTGGGTTGGTCAGGAAGATCCCCTGGAGGAGGAAATGGCAGCACATTCCAGTATATTCTTGCCTGGGAAATCCCATGGACAGAGGAGCCTGGCAAGTTACAGTCCATGGGGTCGTAAAAGAGTTAGACACAACTTAATGACTAAACAGCAACATATATGTTGCACACATACATATATATTATACATATTATACATATATGTATAATATGTAATAATATAATTATATTTTATTTAATATGATAATTATATATATTTAACTACAAAAGCCAAAAGCAGCCATCCAGAGCCCATGGAGTGTTAGTGATAGGTATGTAGCCATACAAAGGACTCAGTAGCAGAACTGGAGTTATATGGACAGAAAACGCAGGTTTTCTGTCTCCGTTCCTGGTTGTTCTCCCATGACACCATTGTTTAGCTCATCCAGATATTTGTATTGTGTTTTCTCTTTAGAGGGGCCTCAGAGATAAGCAAAAAGTTAAGACTGTGCTGGCTGAGTACGTTTATCTTTCCAAAGCAGAGCTTGCCCTTCTTTTAAGCCTTCTGTATACGTATCTCACTGCCAAGAACCCACTCTGGCAAGCCCCTGGCCAACCCACGCTGCCACTGCATCTGTATTTCCCACATGGGTGACAAGCAGCAAGCCTGGCTCAGAGAATCAAGGCTCCCTGAGAGTGGAATCGGGGATGAACTTCCCAATCCACCAAACGGATTGTTGTCAAGTTGGAACATGCCTCACGTGAAGGTGAAGTGCACTCCCCTGGCCGCTGCACCCCTTCTTTGTTGGAAACCTCGGGTTGTAAAATTAGAAGCTCCATGTACTTGGTGTATGTTGCTTGCAAGTTGGTGCCTTCATTGCTGCTGGGGGCAGGGGTTCTCACAAGGACGACCTTTCCCGGGTCCCGTAGGCTGTGTCTTCATCCCTTCCTCTCTCTCATTCTGTTGCTTGTCCTGGACCTTGTGAGAGGGGAAGAGTAAACAGAACATGAACTTTTTTATCCAGATCACAGTAGCCACAGTGAAGCTTGAGAGGTGGGGCTCAAATCAGTAGTATTTTTGACCCTGAGAGTAAGTGAGGTTAGTGTGATGCTTCTTTTACAAACTTGTGCCTGTCTGAGGCCAGGCGTACCATGTTGGATGTGGTGCACATCAGGAAATTATTCATTTGTTCCTCCACCTTGTCCAGGTCCCCCAGTTTCCTCTTGGTTCCCCTACTTTCTTGTCCTCTTTTGGAAACAGAAAAGGGAGGTTAAATTCTAACTTAGGTTTATCTAAATTGCTTTAAAAGAAAGAAAGTGAAAGTCACTCAGTTGTGTCCCACTCTTTGCGATCCCATGGACTACAGTCCATGGAATTCTCTAGGCCAGAAGTGGAGTGGGTAGTCTTTCCCTCCTCTAGGGGGTCTTCCCAACCCAGGGACCAAACCCAGGTCTCCCACATTGCGGGCGGATTCTTTTTCAACTGAGCCACAGGGAAGCCCAAAATTGCTTTAAAGAATCTGTTTCCATAAACAAAATCAATGCACATCATGAAAAGGAACATCCATTGAGGTGATAACCTTTGTCCTCCTCCTCCTCACTCCTTGCCTTGCTTATACCAGAAGCCCCTTGCAGTGGATCTGGGGGGTCCAGTTGGGAGGTGAGGGTGGGGGGTACATTCACTTTCTTTGCCCACCTCCTTCTCCCAAGCTGCTCTTATTTGTGGCTCTATCATAAATCAGCTATAACCCTTTCCTGGTGAAAGCCCACTATGTAGTGTCCCGATATCTTTAGCAGATGTGCGGTGCTCAGTTGCATCCAGCTCTTCACATTACCAGGCTTCTCTGTCCATGGAATTCTCCAGACAAGAATACTGGAGTGGACTGCCATTTTATTCTCCAGGGGATCTTCCCAACCCAGGGATCAACCTGCATCTCTTGTACCTCCTGGATTGCAGGTGGATTCTTTACCACTGTGCCACCTGGGAAGCCAGGTCTTAGCAGATAAATGCCCTGCAGCATGAGCAGTTGAGTGTCTGGGTGGAGGACTTTAATTTGGGCTATTATCTTCGTGATGGTCCTGACATTTAGAAAAATGAGTCTTGCAGAGGTGAACTTTTTATAAATATGCTAAACTATTTATAAATGTAGATTTTCATACAGGCTATTTGACAAATATAATGCTCTCCCTTTTTTAGTGCAGGGAGAGAATCTGGTAGTGTTCCAAGACCCTCAATCTACCGTATACTGATGAGAAATTGAGAAATGGCTCACGCGTACTGAGGGCTTTCATGTATAAGCTCTTCATGAATATTATCTTATTCAACCCTTTTTATAGCCTTATGTTAGAGACATATAAGTAAACCGAGTGTGAGAGAGGTTCAGAAACTTACCCACCATCAAACAGACAGACAGTGCTAGAGATGGGATTTGAACCACAATGTATGTTTCTACAAAGGAAATACAAGCCCAAGTTAATGAGAGAGCATGTGGGTGGAATTTTGAGAGCAAAGGACAGAAAGAGGAGAAAAAAGACATGCACAGTAATCCAAGTGGTACAGTAGGAGGAGTAGTAACAGCAACAGTAGTAGTAATTGTGGCTGTTTTTTGATCAGTATTAAAGTATGTGCCTTTTATTTTGGAGAAGGAAATGGCAACCCACTCCAGTACACTTGCCTGGAAAATCCCATGGATGGAGAAGCCTGGTAGGCAACAGTCTATAGGGTTGCAAAGAGTCGGATACGACTGAGCAACTTCACTTTCACTTTCAAAAGTATGTGCCTTTTATTTTGGTAGGGACAAAAAACTGGGGGCCATGTCTCCAGGCTTCCACTGAGTAGAATCAAAGCTTGATAACTGTGAATATTAAGAGAAGATATCTATGAAAGTAGAATAGGACTAGTATTAGCTAACATTCATTGAGCACTTAGTCCCTGCCGGGTACTATGCTAAGTGTTTGCTAAGGCTCTTTGTGAACATGGTGACAGCTCACGTGTGCAGCATGTTCTCATTTTACTGATGGGGAAATTGAACTTGGGGAAATGAAATAAGCTGTCCAGTTATCAAGTGCTGGAGATGGGATGTGAATCCATACAGCCCAACTCCTGAGCTCACTTTAACTGTCCACGATTTGTTCAGTCACTAAGTTATGTCCAGCTGTTTGCGACCCCGTGAACTACAGCACACCAGGCTTCCCTGTCCTTCACTATATCCCAGAGTTTGTTCAGACTCATGTCCATTGAGTCAGTGATGCCATTCAACCATCTCATCCTCTGTTGCCTCCTTCTCTTGCCCTCAGTTTTCCCAGAATCAGGATCTTTTCCAGTGAGTTGGTTCTTTGCAGCAAGTGGCCAAAGTATGAGAGCTTCAGCATCGTCCTTCCAATGAACATTCAGGGTTGATTTCCTTTAGAATGGACTGGTTTGATCTCCTTGATGTCCAAGGGACTGTCAAGAGTCTTCTCCAGCACTGCAGTTCCAAAGCATCAATTCTTCAAGGATCCTCAGCCTTCTTTATGGTCCAACTCTCATGATTTAGCCTATGCCAAAAAGTTTACCCTAGGGTTTTTTTTTTTTTTTTTTAACCATATCAGACTAGGGTGGACTTGCCATTGATGCCTTATGCTGGACAGAATCTTAACAGTCACTATCACCTCCCAAGGTAAGCTAGCCATGTCATGTAGAGGATCAGAAGTAAGAGCAATCCTTTTGTTTTCTAGTTGTATAAATTTGTGAGTGGAGCCATTGACATATAGGAAGAGTTTACCTTTAGAAGAGTATGTGCTTTGTGTTAGAGGCAGAAGACAACCTCCTGCTTATTCCATATAAGTGAGTAAGTTACTTATATATTCAAGACAGTTA